ACCATTTATCGTCATAACAATTCATGATTTCATAATAGCCTATAAAAGCCACTAAGCTACCATTTTATCGTCATAACAATTCATGATTTCATAATAGCCTATAAAAGCCCCCTAAGCTACCATTTTATCGTCATAACAATTCATAATTTCATCATAGCCTATAAAAGCCACCTAAGCTACCATTTTAACGTCATAACAATTCATGATTTCATAATAGCCTATAAAGCCCCCTAAGCTACCATTTTATCGTCATAACAATTCATAATTTCATCATAGCCTATAAAAGCCCCCTAAGCTACCATTTTATCGTCATAACAATTCATAATTTCATCATAGCCTATAAAAGCCACCTAAGCTACCATTTTAACGTCATAACAATTCATGATTTCATAATAGCCTATAAAAGCCACCTAAGCTACCATTTTATCGTCCTAACAATTCATAATTTCATCATAGCCTATAAAAGCCACCTAAGCTACCATTTTAACGTCATAACAATTCATAATTTCATAATACCTATAAAAGCCCCCTAAACTATATTTTTATCGTCATAACAATTCATAATTTCATCATAGCCTATAAAAAACACCTAAGCTACCATTTTAACGTCATAACAATTCGTGATATCATCATAGCTTATAAAAGTCCCTTAAGATACCATCTTATCGTCATAGGAATCTTAGATTTATTGGATCATTTTAAAAACGCAAATTTAAATGAGAATTCCATCATTAATAAATTTATTGATTTTAATTTAATTTAGTTTAGATTCACGCACGCACTCATGCACTTCCAAGTATATATTGTTTTTTTCTTCTTGCGTTGTGTTTGGTGGCTGCTGGCATCGAAAGCAAAACCACAACACTTGTACGACATTATTGCACAATCTAATAGGTTTTAGAATCTGTTCATCTGTTGGCAAAATAGTCTTGCCAAATGATCGGAATCGACCTGTCAGCTAAAGGACGGACGCACATTATTCAATATTGCACATACTTTCTTTTAAATAACCAGCGAATGTTCATAACTATTATACATCCAGGTTTAGTTTAATTTGAGTTATGTATTTATGTTATGTTATATATTTGGCATAGACCCAACAAAGGTCATATTGGTATCAGTGAATTCATGTTTGTTTCGAACTTTTCTCCAACCAAACATATCGTATAGACGATCTGGGCACAGATCTTGAATTCTCATCACTTCCTCAAATGAGAAATAACTACGCCATTTAGACACAGAATCAGCATGTGGGGCATATCCCTCCGCAGGAGCGTTACCAGTCAGTTCTACGAACTTGAACATAGAGGGCACAATTTTATTTGGATTGATCGCCATGTCCTCATAGCGAATTACCATGGAGTTTTTTCGTATCCAAGGTGGACCTTGCGTTATAGCATTATAGTTAGTTTCCAGCCAATTACAGTGCTCCACAACATAATCTATTAACCTGGGATGAAGTTCACCATCCGCTGTATTGTCGCCATGGTGATGATCAAGATGTTGCAGGAATCTCTTATGCCTCGAGCTGGCCATACCACGTGGGTCACGGGCTAAAAACAACACTTTGACTTCATCATTTTCCAACATTGGCATTAGTTGAAGTAGATCGTTTAGTCGAACTACTTTTGCGATGACGTGGCGTTTTGATTTGCATATTGACGTCAACGTATCTTCCGTTATTGGCATTGGAAGACTGTTCAGACCGGCGCGTATTTTGTAAATTGATATTGGAGCGTTGAACCCCTGTGTGAAATACGGATGGTTGGTAAAATTGCAATTATAAATTCCATGTAGAAAATCGCGAAGGGTGACTTGTATTTTTTCGAGGTTCACATGTCCGTCGTCCTGAACGCTGCCTTTAAATAAATTACTCATACTGAACAGCATGTGCCCCGGTTCGTATGCGTAGAAAAAATCTGGACGGCCGCTGAAATATCCAGCAATAGCTTTGGATCCAGTTGTCATTCTGCCTATTACCAACAGACGAACTCGTTTGGTTTCTTTCATTTTATCTTTCGCAGGATTCAGTTCACCCATCTCAGTTTTAGAATATGTGGTTTCAACGTTTTTCTTCAGCATTACATCCTCGATTTCCATAGCACCACGACCCGGCGTATAGTGCGTCGAAATGGAACCCACCTCTGTGACCTTATCGCTACTAGGAGACCATGTTTGTACGTCATCGTCCCGACTGTTCATGGATGATATCTCATTAACAATGTAGTCATCTTCGGGCAATATCAGACTATTTCCTCCCAGAGCAACTCTAATGCTATACACAGATATTGCTATGGCAACTACCATTAGACAGAACGCCATTTTTCGTAGCACATAAGTCATTTTCATCATCACTTATTCTACAGCGCAAATAAAATGACAAATGTATGTTTAGTAATATACAATTTATAATAGGCACCTATTAATATTGCGGTTGTTAATAACAAGGCATGCATCTGTCGTCAGAGTAATATATTAGGTCGATGTTATAATGCCTTATAATGATGGTATGGGCATGTTATACTTTTAAGTGAAAGAAATTAAGGCACGATGAGCCTGGTACATTGTTCGGCTCCATATTTCAGTAAATCAAAGCGAATGATTGTTAATACATACCTAAAATAGGAACATGGACGCTTGCTGTTAATACATATCATATCATATCATATCAAATATTGTAGAGTCAGTGTGGACATTGTCAGTGTATACGTTGTCGGTACACAGCTGGTGCTAGGATAACACAACTTGCGCATGTATAGTGGTTGCGTGTATTTATTAAACACCAGGCTCACGCGGCCGAGGATACTCTCCTCGCTTGAATTTTAGATGGTTGCTTCGGTGCCACGCCATGTATCGATGAAGTGTTCCTATAACGTCAATAGACGAAAAGAATCCGTTTATAATGTCGATATTGTTTTTTTAAAGCCGCCCTTCAATAAATACAATGTTTTTGGAAGATTATGAAAATGTTAAAGTTGTCATACAGCGCGTGTTCGAATTTCGTGTATCAATTTGTTTACATGAATTGTGTCTGTTGCATTGGATCCATATGGACAACGAGATGACACACGCTGTTTTCATTCGTTTACGTCACAAAACACTTCGTCGTTAGATGGCGTGACTTATAGGAAAGTGTATTGGAAGATTGATTTCATCACAGTGCTCCAGTTGAGAGGATGTGATTTTTTTCCACTAACAGATGCTACAATTTGCTGGGCTTTAGTTAAGGTCACGGGCCATAGTCAACAGGTGCTTGTTTTCGACCAAGCCTGACTGACCGGAAAGACGCTTTAAATTGCTATAATGCCATTATGATAAAAACAATCTCTATAAGTACTAGCACACTTTTCCCCCGCATCTAAAAAAAAGTTTGACAACAGTGACATTCAATGTCGGAAAAAATCGCCTGTCACAACATTATTTAGAAAAAAACAATTGACTTCCTACAGAGTAAAGAAAAGAAACGACACGCTACTGGCGTGTACCTTTGTGATAAAGATGATTTGAATGAAAATTCACCCGCTGAGTTGCGACTCTCCATGCATGCTCCGTAATATATAATATGTAATTTTCTTACAAATTTACATATGTTACATTTCAATCTCAATAATACGATAAAATGATATACAGTGTCCAACAATATACTTGTTCATGTCTAGAAGTTTGTAGTAAGATTTTAATGACAAAATATGTTTTGATTGTGGTCTTTTGAAACCACTGCTAAATTGTCATTTTATGCATATTATTTGACAGTTCTCTGAAAAAAAGTTCATATACTGATGACTAATACTAAGACGATTAAAGCGTCAGGTGGCCATAGCGTGTCATTGTTTACAAACAAGCGCCTGCCCATGAACCTTTGCGTTTTTATATTTTAAAACTAACAATTTGTAGTAAGATTTTAATGACAAAATATGTTTTGATTGTGGTCTTTTGAAACCACTGCTAAATTGTCATTTTATGCATATTATTTGACAGTTCTCTGAAAAAAAGTTCATATACTGATGACTAATACTAAGACGATTAAAGCGTCAGGTAGCCATAGCGTGTCATTGTTTACAAACAAGTGTCTACCCACGAGCCTTTGCGTTTTTAGCGTGTATTGTTATCGTAGCTTGGGACTCAATTCCCGTGCGTGCGCAGGTGACGACCCTCTCGCTTTAATTATAGAGACGTTTTGCGCTAAAATATGCGCACATGTCAACAAACGTACGAGTAGCAGTTCAGCAAATCGTGTATGCATCGAAAACGTTTGAAGACAATATTCTGATTTCTTGATAACATACATATGATTATTTTGTGAGCGTTTTAAATATTGCAAGAGAAAAGGTTTCTTTCGGCAATACCATGAAGATTAGGGAACTTTTTTTTAGTTCTGTGTGGGGAGGATGACTTATTGCGAGACATTTCGTCATGGTTAAAGGGCGGCAGTCTTCGCGCCGCGTCCTGTTCGACATGGGACTCATAGCGACGTATACAACGCGTGTAAAATACATTGTTTGTTAACATGAAATTCGAACACGCGCTGCGCGACGACCACCGCCCTTTACAAATGTTATCAAAAGGAACGGAAAATCTAACAAAGGAACAATGAGATGCATGTTAAAGTATTCTGGAAAGACTAAACTTTTGAAATGTTGTGGGTAGATTTACCCCGACACTTCCTCTGTTGTGTGACAGTAGATACTATATCAAGGTCACATATTTCAGGTACTTGGCACAATTTTCTTGAACAAGTGACCCATGATGCCCATCGAGATAAACAATTCGTGATTACGCGATATCCATTACGATGACAAGACGTGTTATCAATACCCGAGAATTTCACACTTTTAAAAATACGCTTTTAAGCTCACCGACCACGTAACCTACATTTACTGTTCTTGTTTGACTCCATTTCCAGTCCGTATCACCGGCGGTTTCCGTTGAGAGTCCTTCCAGTTTATGTACGATGCTCTCAACGGCAGTTATTGCGTATGCATTGCATTGAGTTCAAACACAAGGATTTGTGGCTATACTTACTGGTTATGGAAGATTATTAGGTTTATAATGATACATTTCTCGACGACAGCCTTTTTTCGGCTTTATTCAAACTGTAAATAATGACAGATGACGAACCATAGCAACACCACGTGGTAATTTAATAAATAACAGCCTTGGGACCTGAGCTGTGGTGTTTCCTTCAAAATGCAGGATATGTGAATTTTATTTCCATTTATTGGTAACTAATCTCGCGACAGTCTGAGTTGTATATGACCAGTGTATCACACACATCCCAGGGGCCATGTCTGTTGATAAGGGACACGTCGTTTATTGGCAGGGGAAGGGCCCGAAATTTCAAGTCAGTACGAGAAAAATGATGACCCTTCCTCAAAATTAAACTAAAATTGGACGACCTTGGCCAATATCAAGCTGAAAAAATAATGAACCTTCCCCCAGTAACAGTTATTCCCAGTACTGAAATCGGGAACTACTAATTTGAGTTCTATCCGTCCGTTTTTTCGTCCGTGCATCTGTCCAGAGAGTCATCCATCTATCCACTTCTTTCTCTCTTCTCTTGTTCGTAATAGTGGTACTACCGCCGGTGAGAATGGTGGTTGTCATAGTAGCCATGATAGTTGAAATATTGTTAGTGATGTACATCATAATAGTGGTAGTATTGCCAGTGAGAGCGGTAGTATTTTTTTTCAGAACTGGCATAAACAATGCAGACTCCTCTAAGACGTAGATATGAGAATGGATGGCCCTCCCCAGAATTGCTGAACTTTTCATTTGTGTTGATTTACATCCATGAACCAACAATCACGTGTTTTAATTTGATCTGTAGTTTTTTGATTCACAATTAACACAGCACTCTTATATGCTAGTCTCAAAATGAATTAAAACAAAAATCACGATATGCCCTCATGCAGCATATATTAAATTTCTTTTGTTTTTATCATTGCTCAGTACATCTATACAAAAGCACTAGTCGACACTCTGTCATAGGGCGCTGTTAATTTGCTGTCAGTTCAGTCCAGTATTGACTACCTTGAAATGACAAACAACTTTATTTTTGTATTTCAGAAATAGACAATTTATATGCACAGAAAATGTGCGATATTTCACTCGTGTATCACGTCTGTAAGTGTACGACTGTGATGGAATGAGTGGTAGTTTTAATTTATGCGAACCAGTCTTGTATCTCGTGGTTCTGACATTCAGCTGTAATGTATTCCAGGAGTATACTTGAACAATTATGAAGCGAATATAAATCTTTATCAAAATGCTGTGACAGAAATTCAACCCCACAGAAGTTGCATAGGCTGCCCATATAATATACAAGATATAAAGTGACGTACTGGTGATAATATACAAGATATAAAGTGACGTACTGGTGAATACTCCCACATTTCATTTAAACATGGATAGTGACACTACAATATGTGAAGTCAGGTGTTGTTTTCAGAGAAGACTCAGGGGTAAAACACTAGATACCTCTACATACCTTTGTTGATTCCAATTTTACCATTCACATAACGTGCATTGCTGAAATACTAATTGCACAACCAGTTTCTCTGCCACCTGTATTACATCATGGAAGGGGGATGACTACCTAGGAAACCCCCCTTTTCTGAACAATATTTTCATGTAAAAATCTTATTGCTATGGTGGTGAACCTTCCTTTACATCATGGAATTGTGTAGTTTTGTAACAACCTAAACAAAGCCAAATAATACAGGAATATCTACCACTAGATGGCGCTGTACTCAATACGTGCATGACTACTCTTTCCATCTACTCACTTCTATCACAGTTAGGTAAATATGATAAATACTTCATTTTAGCTGGAATTAATTTTCACTGCAAAGGCATTTTGGCTGTTTTATATGACATTTAAATTTCTCTGAATTTTGATGTGTTGAATGCAAGATGCAGACAAAAAAAAGTGTTTTCACTGGATTTTAATTTCACTGAGCGAAAAAAATTTCCAAGTGAAAATAAAGTACAGTACTTTACCTTGAACTTGACACAGCTTGCAGTACAATGGAATAATGTAACAAGGTTAACCAAATACTCCCAAAGTTCATACGGACTGGTGCAAGTCAATTAACATTTCACTAGTATATACCATGATGACAAAATTTATACTTGATATATAGAATATCAAAGCAATTGGACTTGCGGTTTTCAACAATTCGAAAAAGTATAAAGTTGTTATGGCTGATGACAGACAATCACTCATATGATAAGCCCCGCTTGACAAAGTCAACAGCCGAGCTAAAAAAACACACAATTTGGTCATCAAAATTCAAAATATCATGAAAATTGACACCAGTTTC